AACACCTCTCAGATCCACCCCACTTCCCTACCCACACAACCTTTTGTTCTGTCTCTTTCTCAACTTGTCAAGTACAAAGAGCTGCCCCACCCTCTTGGGTGTGCGGCTTTCCACTGGGGTGTAGACAGTTTTCTTTAAGATCGAGGCTCTCTTTTCTAGTTTTGCTGGGTCACCTCCATAAATACCAAACTATTAGGGGCAATTGTATTGGTAATTGTTTTTATTTGCTTGCTTAGTTTTTGCTTTGTTTTGTTTTAAGAGACAGGATCTCTTGTAGCCCAGGCTGGCCTTGGACTCCCGATCCCCCTGCCTCCTAAGTTCTGGGATGACAGCCCTGAGCTACTGCACCAAGTTAGTGAGGTGCTAGTGATAGGACCCAGGGCTTCATATATGCTAGGCAAACACTCCACTGATTAAGCTTCACCCCAGCCCCAGCAGCTGTCATTTCTAACTAACATATCATTCCCAATTAGTATTTTTTTTATCTTGTTTTAAATTTTATTTTATGTGTGTGGGTATTTTGCTTGCATGTATGTCTGTGCACTGTGTGCATGCTTGGTGCCTGCAGAGACCAAAAGAGGTCAACTCCTTTTGAACTGTAGTTATAACTGATTGTGAGCCACCATATGGGTGCTGGGACTTGATCCCAGACCCTCTGGAAAAACAAGTGCTGGTAACCACTGAGCCATTTCTCCAGACCTCAGTATTTTATTTTTAGATGAAGTACTTAAGAAATGATCCATACATAGTATAATGATGTTTTGAAAGGACCCAAGTGTAAGTCTGAGCCATGATTCCAGTGGGATGAGATTAGACATGGGTGAGGTATATCCCTGCGTTTGAAGATGTTTTAAGTAAAATTTGACAGTGGGTAAAAATTTAACACAGTAAACTTACAGGCAAAACATTGTTTGATGATATCAAATCTTTTTTGTTTGTTTGTATGTACATGTGTAAGTGCATGTGCATATGTGTATATGGTGTGTGTGTGTGTGTGTGTGTGTGTGTGTGTGTGTGTGTGTGCGTGCGCGTGCGCGCGCACATGTGTACTAGAGATCAACCTTAGGTGTCTTCCTCAGTTACACTGTTTTCTATTCTGAGATGAGGTCTCTCACTGAACCTGCACGTCACTGATTCAGCTAGGCTGGCTGGCCAATGAACTCCAGGGATCCTGCTTTTATCTTCCTAGCACTGGGATCAAAGGTGTGCACTGCTGTGCCTAGATTTCACATGGATGCTGGAGATCAAACTCAGGTCCTCATGCTCTTGGAGTGGATGGGATAGCCTGGAGGGCTGCAGGCCGAGCTAAAGTGAGAGTTGCAGGACTCTGAGCAGCTGAGGTGGGGAGGACAGGGCACGCTGTCAGAGGATGTTTGGACATGTGACTTTCTGACTTGACTGGGTCATGCAAGAGTGGGAGTAGGTTACTGAGGAGGTGTATGGAAAAGGGCCAAGAAATGAAGATGGGGTGCTCCTGGGGTATTCCTGTGATGTGATTGTCATCTGAACTGAAGGCTTGAAGTGGAGAGGTAAAGACTGAGTAGGATGCCACCATCTTTTCGAGACAGTAGGGCAAGATAGTGCCTAATGGAGGGCACCTCAGAGAAAGGGTTTCTGCAGGAGGGAGAGGCTTAGTAGCAGTGGAAATAAAGAAGTTTGCCCTACTTTCTGCCTCGAGAGATGTGGGGACTGTGAGAAGAAACAGACTCCACTTAGAGATCTGAGGTAGTGGTTGAGTGGGGGCAGTGTCATTAGCATCCAGGTCTCAAAATGAAGATGGGGGTGATGGAGATGGCTTGGTCAGTAAAGTGCTTGATGAGCAAGTGTGAGGACCTGAGTCTGGGCCTTTGTTAAAACCCACATGAAAGAGCTAGGTGCAGTGATGTGTGCCTCTAGGCCCAGTGCACAGGGAGCAGGGGCCGGAAGAATCAGGGAGCTCCAGGTTCAGAGAGATCCCGCCTTAAAAAGTAAAGTGAAGGGGGCTAGAGAGATGTCTTAGTGGCTTTTGTAGAGGACCTGAGTCCAATTCACAGCACCCAGGTCAGGTGACTCACAACTGACGTTAACTTCATCTCCAGAGGATCCAATGGCTATGACTTTCTCCATGAGCACTGCACTCCACTCACACACTCCTACATACACATAACTAAAAATAAAAATAAACTCTTACCAGGCATGGTGGTGCATGCTTTTAATCTGGGCACTTGGGAGGCAGAGGCAGAGGCAGACGTAACTCTGAGTTTGAGGGCAGCCAGCTACACAGTGAAACCTTGCCTCAAAAAAAACCCCACAAAAACAAACAAACAAACAAAAAAACAAACACAAAACAATAAATAAATAATTCTTAAAAAAAAAAAGATTTATTATGTATACAGTGTTCTTTCTGCAGGCCAGAAGAGGGCACCAGTTCTCATTCCAGATGGTTGTGAGCCACCATATGGTTGACTGGGAATTGAACTCAGGACCTTTGGAAGAACAGCCAGTGCTCTTAACCTCTGAGCCATCTCTCCAGCCCAAACAAATAATTCTTTAAAAGCCCATGTGCATGTGTGTACATACACGCACACACATACACACATAACCCCCAAATCACATACCCCAAAAATAATAAGATGGGGTGCAGTAGGGAAGGGTGCTGATCATAAACCTCTAGACACACACACACTCACGCACACACGCATGCACACACACACACACACACATACAAACACGAGCATGAGGATGTGTGAATAGTTGTTTCTCAAGCTTGTGAAGTTTCATAGAATAAAGTGGAAAAGTTGAGTGGATATAAGTGGAGGTCTGAAAGGTGATGAATAAAAGAAAGCCATGGCCTTGGTGTGGGGACAAAGTAAGTGGTTAAGAGAGTACTGCTGGACCCAGACCTGGGTCTTGTGGAGGAGGATGAACTCTGGACATTGGTCTTAAAGGATGCAACTTGGTCATTTTTTTATTTTATAATTAACTTAATTTCACATATCAGCCACGGATTCCTCCATCCTCCCTCCTCCCACCCCCCAGCCCTCCCCTCCAACCCACACCGCATTTCCATCTCCTCCAAGGCAAGGTCTACCCTGGGGAGTCAGCCCAGCCTGGTAGACTCAGCCAGGCAGGTCCATTCTCTTCCTCCCTACACCAAGGCTGAGCAAAAGAGTCCCAGCATAGGCCCCAGGCTCCAAAAAGCCAGCCCATGCACCAAGGACAGGTCCGGCTCCACTGCCTGGGGGCCTCCCAAACAGTTGAAGCTAATCAACTGTCTCACTTATCCAGAGGGCCTGCTCCAGATCCATGGGGGCTCCTCAGCCATTGGTTCACAGTTCATGCGTTTCCACAAGTTTGGCTATTTGTCCCTGTGCTTTTTCCAATCATGGTCTCAATATCTCTTGCTCATACAGTCCCTCCTCTCTCTAACTTTGTCATTTTTTAAGGATTTATTTTGTTTTTAATTATGTGTATGCATGTGTCTGTATGTGGATTTGTGTACATGAGTGCAGTGCTTTCTGAGGCCAGATGAAGAAGTAGGATCCCTGTGCTGGCTAGTTCTTTGTCAGTTTGACACAAGCTAGAGTCACTGGAGAGGAGGGACCCTCAATTGAGAAAGTGCCTCTGTAAGATTGGCAAGCCTGTAGGGCATTTCTTAATTAGTGATTGATGAGAGGGCCCAGCTCATTGTGGGTGGTGCCACCCCTGAGCTGGTGGTCCTGGGTTCTCTAAGAAAGCAGGCTGAGCAAGCCATGGGAAGCAAGCCAGTAAGCAGCACCCCTCCATGGCTTCTGTATTAGCTCCTGCCTCCAGGTTCCTGCCCTGTTTGAGTTCTTGTGACTTTCCTTTGTTGATAAACTGTGATGTGGAAGTGTAAGCCAGATAAGCCCTTTGCTCCCCATGTTGCTTTGGTCATGGTCTTTCAACACAGCAATAGTAACCCTAAGACAGTCCCCGAGGGCTGGAGTTACAGGCAGGTGTGAGATGCCCTGTGTGGGCTGGGAACTGAACTGGGGTCCTCTGAAAGGGTAGCATGTGTTCTGCTCTTAATCATTGAGACAGCTGTTCAGCCCCACAAGCTTGTAATTTGATAACAGAAGGATAAATCAGTTGAGATTTGGGTAAGAATTTCAATTACAGATACTGTGCACAGAAGAGGTGCTGGTTAGTACTTAGAGACTATTATATTAGTGTGATGTCAGAGAGTCGGACCCACTGGCCTGGAACTCACCAAGTAGGCTAGGCTAGTTAGCCAGTGAGCCCTAGGGAATGTGCCTCTCTCTGTCTCCCCAGTACCAGGATCACAAGCACCCATCACCATGCCCAACATTTTTTACATGGGTAGTGTGTGGATCTAACTCAGTTCTCCTGCTTCCAAGGAAAGCAGCCTCCTAGCCCCAAGCTTTCTGTTTCTTTTTTTTTTTTTTTTTTTTTTTTCCGAGACAGGGTTTCTCTGTGTAGCTTTGCGCCTTTCCTGGGACTCACTTGGTAGCCCAGGCTGGCCTCGAACTCACAGAGATCCACCTGGCTCTGCCTCCCGAGTGCTGGGATTAAAGGCGTGCGCCACCACCGCCCGGCCTTTCTGTTTCTTTATGATAACAGGATGGACCCTGTGGCTTTGCAAAAGTTAAAAAAGTATTCTACAGAACACTGAGTGGAAGTTAAGGCATTTGTGAGCTGCCCCATGTGGATGCTGGGAACTAAACCCTTGGAAAACGGTGCATGCTGGGCTAAGGCAACCTTTCTGTTTGATGTCACTACAGGAAGCATCACTTGTGCCTGGTAGAGAGAAGATGACAGTTTAAGGCTTGAGTTCTAAGGTCAGCTCTGTCACCGAGTTAGGTTGACCTTCAGCAACTTGTCTTCCCCGAGCTTTCACTCGGCTGTTTTAATTCAGAGACTTGACTAGATAGTATGTCTGCGATATGATTCAGGGGCCATCGGGAAAGTTACATTGAATTTAGTTGGATCGAAGAAGGATGAGTGTGTTTTTGTCTCACCTTCGTTTCTCCCCATCACAGGCCAGTGTCTCATCTGGGTCCAGTGTTCCTCTCCAAAGTGTGAGAAATGGAGGCAGCTGCGTGGAGGCATTGATCCCTCAGTTCTCCCAGATAACTGGTCTTGTGATCAGAATCCAGGTAGAAAGGAATGGAAATGTTTTCCTTCAGTTTTTATTACCCCTCCATTTCTTTCCCAACGTGTCTCCTTTCAGTTAGGTACAACTCAGATCGAGCTGGCATTGAGGGTCCTTGTGGGCACTGGGAAGGGAGGATCTTTCTGTTCTGTGGGAGGAGGGAAGGGTGGCCTGGGAACCTTTGTGAGTACACCGAGTGAATTCCACCTGTGTCAGCCTTGCCTGATGGTATTAGTGCTTCCTGGAATATGGGTGTTGGACTGTGGATAGAGAGGGATATATGACTCGGGGAAAAGCAAGTGAGAAAGACCCAGTGAGCTTAGCATTCATTCTAGAATGTTAGAAGGGGTTAGCTGGGACAGATTATGACCATCTTGTCCAGCACACTTATTTTCCAGACGAGAAAGCCTCTTAGAGAAACGACCCCCACACTGCTCCACAGAGGGGCAGAGTCACACTGGGATGGGGCAGGACCCCCTTGCCTGGAGCTGCATTTCCTCTATGGGTTTCTGGTCTCTCCCACCTGCAGCCTGTACCACTTCCCATTGCCCTGTCTGTGGTCTGCCTCCTGGTTTCATTCTTTGAGCCTCCTGTTTCTATAGTCCTTCTCTTTTGACAGACCTGAACTATAATCACTGTGATATTCCTGAGGAGACCTGGACAGGGTGTGAGAGCGATGTGGCCTATGCCTCTTATGTTCCAGGATCCATCATCTGGGCCAAGCAATACGGTTACCCCTGGTAGGGCACCATGACAGAGAGCATCTTTCCTGAACTTGGGAGTGGTAGAGTCATGCGGGGAGGAAAGGATATGGCAATCATTTGTCATAGATGTGGTACCTTCATTAGAAAGAGCATCAGTGAGGGAAAAGACAGAGGGCTGAGCTGGAAGCCTTTGGAAGACTGTAGGTTTCAGGGTGGAGGTGGGATCTCTGGAAAAATGGGTCCAATGATACTGCAGTGAGTGGGGGGGGGGGGAAGAGGAGGACCTAAAGCAATCTCTTGTTTTTGAGACAATGCTAGCCTTGAACTTGAAATCCTGCCTAAGCTTCCCTAGTACCTGAATTGTAAGGCACATGCCACCAAGCCCTGATTCAAGGCATTTAAAAATGTTGAGATGTGAGAGGCATGCAAAGTAAAGAGAAGGATGGTAGGTTAGCCTCTTTTCTGGTGACAGTCAGAGGTTCTGTCCACAGCCTTGCTAGGATGACCGAGATTTCTTTGATGCTGGTGGAAGTCAAGTCAGTAATTTGGCTAACGGAGTATAGCTTTTGGATCTTCTACAAAACATCTTGCTCTTTTCCATGTGTGCATGATGGTGAGGTTGTGTTCTGATCATAACCTCTTTCTCTCCCATTCCATCCCTCTTCCCCAGGTGGCCAGGCATGATAGAATCTGACCCTGACCTGGGGGAGTATTTTCTTTTTGCATCTCATCTTGATTCCCTGCCGGTGAGTTTCTTGGTTCTGCCGAGCAGCAGCATAACCATCCTAACATGTTTAGAGTTAGAAACATGGATGTAGCCAGTAGACACATGTGGAAGCAAACACTTAACTGGAGTGACAGATATGGAGGGAAGATAAACACACAGAGAGAGGAACTTGTATTGAGATACATTTGCTTCCTAGCATGGCGTTTTTGTTTTGTTCAGTACACATTGCTTGGGATTCCTGAGGTCAGCGTAGAGGAACAGTGGAGTGAGCTGGGTAGGTGAGCCAGGGCTCAGGGAATATACGAGCTCCAGCATCTTCCCCGTGAATCCCCCTCCCTCCCCCACACTCTGTCTTTCTCTACCATTTCTGACAAGGGAAAAGCAGAGAGAAGGGCAGGAACCAAACAAGCCCATCTTTTGTTACAGTCCAAGTACCATGTGACATATTTTGGAGAAACAGTTTCTCGTGCGTGGATCCCAGTTAGCATGCTGAAGAACTTCCAGGAGCTGTCCCTGGAGCTAGCCAGAGTGGTGAGCAAACTTTGGGCATCTGCTGTGATACAGGGAACAGGGCATTTTTGTGTGTGAGTCTTCGTTTGCTGTTGTTTGAGAGAGGGTCCCAGGCTTGTTTGGAACTCACTGTGTAGTCAAGGATGACCTAGAACATCTGATCCTCCTGCCTCCAACCTCCTAAATCCCAGGATTACAGGCAAGCACCACCATACCACTTTCTGAGTCAGTTTGGGAGTTGCAGCGGTAAGGGCCCAGGTTAACTCAGGGTTTCTCAATCCCAGCACTGTGGGCATCTTGGTCCGGATAGTCCTCTGCATGCAGGTGTTAGCAGCACCTGTTCTGCATGCAGGTGTTAGCAGCATCCCTGGACACCGCAGCATCCTCTATCCTATGTCTTGACCTCTTCTAGTTGTGACAGCTAAATAATTGTCCCCAAACTTTGTCTCCTGGGAGACAGTCTTCCCTAGTTGAGAAGCATGTGGTTAGCTAAATCGTATTTCTTCCCTATAATCATTTGGGGTTTAACTAGCCTTAAAGTGAGCAGAGATCCTGAAGCCCAGTGTGATGACCTTTGGAATTATGGAGTTGGGAGAAAAGATGTTTGTTGTATGCCTACTATTCAATCGAGCTACGAGCATTAAACTGCTGGGTTCAGAGGAACTCGTGAGAAGCTAAAAAGTGGAGTCCCCTGAACTTCAGTCTTCTTTTCCTTCAAATCCCTGTGTGATTCACTGTGGAGGGCACTAAAGCATCAGAGGTTTATTGGGAAGGAGAGTGTTGCTTAACTATCAGTTCCAGATACTGACATGACACACTGTTCTTAATCTTCCGGGGCTCAGAAACAACAACTGTAGCTAAGATAATGCCAAGTCAGGGGTGGTGATTCACATCTATAATTCAGCATTCAGGAAGCTGAGGTAGCAGAGTTGCTGTGAATTTGAGGCCAATAGGCTGTAGTGAGTGCCTGGCCAGACTGAGCCACAGTGTGTGAAGAAAGAGAGAGAGAGAGGGAGAGAGAGAGAGAGAGACAGAGAGACAGAGAGACAGAGAGACAGAGAGAGGTAGTGGTATGTTGTGGTCACTTTTCTAATATTATTATTATTAATTTTTCTTTTAAAAATATTTATTTTATTTTTAATTGTGGATATGTGCACTTCATGCAAGTACTTACAGAGGCCCAAAGCTTCAGATCCCCTGAGGCTGGAGTTTAGATGGTTATTAGTTGCCTGATGTGGATGCTGAGAACTGAACTTGGGTCCTCTGGAAAAGCAATACTTAGCTGCTGAGCCATCTCTCTAGCCCCATATTGAATAATTTCAAGAATTATTAGTTATTTGAGAGTTTTTATGTTGACTATTTTTAAAGATATATCTATCATGAACTCTAACCTTCTATCTTAGAAAAAATGCAAGAACAAGGACTATGGCCAGAAACTGGAGGCAGCCATAAGGATGGCTCACAAGGCAGAGCAGATCAGTGTTCAGGTGGGCGAGTGCCCAGCCCACAGGCTGGGTCCCCCTGCTGCCCCACAGCCGGGATCTGTTTTCCCTGCCTGGCCGGGTTTCCTGATGCCTAAGCCATCCACTCCTTTTCTGCCCTGGGACAGGTGGTGTCTTCTCTCAGCCCAAACACAGTTTTTACCCTCAAATCCCTCTGGAAGGATAAGGGTGGGGTAGAGAATGACACGTGAAGTTTTCTTTCCTAGTTACTTGTCCCATCATGAATAAACTAGAAAAGAGATTATAATTAATCTCCATTAAAGGATCAGATAAAACTAATGTGATATTTCAAGTGAAAATGGTTTGGAAGATGAACACAGACTTTGTCATCACTAGAATCTAGAAGACAGGGCAAAAGCTGGGTCTGGGAGGGTGGTGGGGGACACTGTTGTAACCTGGGAGGGTGGTGGGGGACACTGTTGTGTCTGGGAGGGTGGTGGGGGACACTGTTGTGTCTGGGAGGGTGGTGGGGGACACTGCTGTAACCTGGGAGGGTGGTGGGGGACACTGCTGTGTCTGGGAGGGTGGTGGGGGACACTGTTGTGTCTGGGAGGGTGGTGGGGGACACTGTTGTGTCTGGGAGGGTGGTGGGGGACACTGTTGTATCTGGGAGGGTGGTGGGGGACACTGCTGTGTCTTGGTTCCCCAGGAGCGGGTTAACTTGTTTGGTTTCTGGAGTCGATACAATGGATCTGACGGCCGTGGGGAAGGGAAAGGTAGGAAAGTAGTGGCGGGAGGGTGGAGAGCCCCTTCTCCCTGTCGGACCCAAGCCTGCACCACCCTCCCCATTCCAGATTCTCTAGTGGGAGCTCTTGTGACTGTGACCCAGGAGAGGATGAGACAGGGTATGTGAGTGTGATGAGTGCGACCGTGGTGACATGGGAACCATCCCGAGGGCTTGGCAGGCAGGGTTGGAAGATGGAGTTCCAGAAATCACCTCCACCTCACCAGATGCATCGTGGATACATAGTCTTCCTTCCTTTCTCTCGCCTAGATTTGATGGTCTGTGAGCCCAGCAGCCCCGAGTCTTGTCTGGAGAAAGAGAAGGACTCAGAGGAGGAGAAGGAGGAGAAAGAAGAGAAGAAAGTAAAGCTGCTTTAGAAAAAGTTCTTGTGACATTTCTGCTTGGGATTCCTGGAGGGATGCGGTTGGCATAGAGTGGCGGTCCCTGTGAACCATCCAGCCCCAGGCACTGACAGGCTGATCTCACCCTGAGGCTCCCAAGGGTGGGGTGGTGGCGGGGGAGTTTTCCTTCCTCGCCGTGGGACTTTCTCAGCCTTTTAGGAGATTCCTTCTTGAGCACAGTCTCAATTTGTGCTGTGTTCCTTTGGTTCTTCATGTAATTTTGGGGAGCCCCTAGTGTTTTTTCCACTTCTTTCTCCTGGGTGGGAACTTAAGATGTCACCCCTTTTCTTAGTATCACTGTGAAACATGCATTTTTCTCTTTCTCTTTTAGTTTATTGGGTTTTTTTTTTGGTAAAAAAATTATTACATTTATTTACTTGGGGGTGGGAATGCATGCCAGAGAAAAATTTGAGGGAGTTGGTTCTCTCTTTCTACCATGTGGGTCCCTCCAGCGGAACTCAAGTTGTCAGGCTTAGAGCCACTGAAACATCTCACAGTCTCTAATTTACACCCCCCCCCCGGCTTAATTTCCTTCGTATGCATTCAATCTTTGCATTGACTGGTACTAAACAGGATGGGAAGGTGACCACATGTTTTCTATGTCCTGCTACAGGTTTAAACTGCATCAGGCTGCAACAAAACCAAATTTGACTTTCTGAAGCCCACCATTATTCTCTAGCACCCCTCTACTAAAGAGAGAATATGTGTGCAGGTGCATGTGTGTGTAGGTGTGCACACATGTATGTGCAAATGTATGCGGAGGCCACAGGTCAATCTCAGGTGTCATTCTTCAGGTGCCATCCACCTTGGTTTTTGAGCTCTATCTGGAACTTGTCCATTTAGTAGGCTGGCTGACAAGCCCCAAGGATGCACCTGTTTTCATGTCTCTGGTGCTAGATTACAAGTGTGCCCCATCACATGCAGCTTTTTTAGTTTGTTTTTTGAGACAGGGTTTCTCTGTGTAACAGTGCTGGCTGTCCTGGAACTTGCTTTGTAGATCAGGCTGGCCTCGAACTCATCACACAGTTTTTTTATGTGTGTTCTGGAGATTGAGCTCAGTTCCTTGTGTTTGCATGGGAATCACATGACTAGGTGCCTCCTCAGTTTTAGGAAGAATTTTGTGATTCAATTTACTTTTTTCTGTTTTTTCCCTGTTGAAGGACCCAACTTTGCCTAGACCCAAGCCAGCTAAAATACAGACCAAAAAAAACAAGTCAAGAGGTAAGGAAGACAGCCGGAAAGGGGCAAGTCCCATAGGTAGGAGGGCAGAGGCAGAGAGTAAGTGTTTTCCAATAGCTGTGCTGGGATGAATCTCCTCTCCAGGACCTGAGAGTACAGGCTGGGCCAATGCCAGGGAGGAAGTCACAGTGCCTCGTTCTTGTTTCCAAAGACTTAGGTGAAAGGTGTAGGGCTCAGCTTGGTCACCAAGGTTGAGTTCTTGGAGAAGGCTGGTTCTGAGGAGAACCGTGGTGGGGAGAAGACCCTGGGTCAGCAATGTCAAGATGGCTAGAGCTGAGGGAACCTGCTGGACTGAGAATGAGCAGGAGATGTGGGACGAGGCAGAAGCAAAATGTGTGGCTACCGTCTGCCTTGCCAAGCTATCAACACATTTTCTTCATGCTTGGGGACTGGGGCTTTACAGGCCCAGCAGGAGGACGAGCCAGGACTCCAAAAGAGAAGACTGTGAAGAAGTCTCTGGGCAGTGAGTCTGCATTCCCTCCTGGACCCGTTTTGGGAGGGAAAGAAGAACAAGGAAATTCAGACCTGGACCATCCAGGTAGGGCTCAGAGACTCGAGGGCCGTGGGGAAATGAAGACCTTGTCTGCATCTCCTCTTCTTGGGTCATTTCTGAACAATTCTATAACTCTTCATGCTTTTGTGCTGCAGTAGGAGGGTTGTGAAGTTGAGGCTGGCTGTTTGTACATGAGTTCTAGGCTAGCATGGGCTATGTAGTGCGACCCTTTTCCAAAACATCAAAAAAAAAAAAAAAAAAGGGCTAGGAAGAGGAGAAGGAGAATAAATGAAATTCTGAATGAAAGACCGTGTCTCAGATTGAACCTAGAACATACTTTATAAACTTAATTGTGGCCAGTTATAGTATGGAAGGCCTTTAATCCTAGAACCCAAGAGGCAGAGGCAGGCAACTCTCTGAGTTTCAGGCCAGCCTGGTCTATATAGTCTAGGCCAGCCAGAGCTACATAGTGAGACTCTATTTCAAAATAACTAAATAAACAAACAAACTTAGTTGTTACTAATTTGATTAAATCCAAGGATAAGCCAATGGTAAAGAGCATTTATTGATGTGGGCTGGCTATGTGGATGCTTGATGCTTCCATGATGTTCTCTCTAAGTCTTTCAGTGGTTCCATTACTAGATAGTTGGCATTTTACACTTATATGTTTTGTTTGTGTGTGCATGTGTGCATGCCATGGTGCAGATGTAGAGGTCAGAAGGCAACTTTTGGGAGTCAGTTCTCTCCTTCTACCATGTGGGTTCCCCCACTGAACCATCTTACTGACTTGTTTTATTATTGAGACAAGGTCTCACTATGTAGTCCTAGCTGATGGGGAACTCACTATGTAGACCAGGCTGCCCTTGAATTCACAGAGATATACCTGCCTTTGCCTCCAGAGTGCTGGAATTAAAGGTGTACACCACCATGCTCAGCTTCTGATTTTTTAAAATATAATATTGTTAATTCTTTTTTTAAAATGTTTTGAGACAGGGTTTCTCTGTGTAGCTTTGGAGCCTGTCCTGGAACTCACTCTGTAGACCAGGCTGGCCTAGAACTCACAGAGATCCACCTGCCTCTGCCTCCCGAGTGCTGGGATTAAAGGCGTGCACTACCACCGCCCGGCTAATATTGTTAATTCGTTTTTAGAACTTTTCCTCTTTCTTTTTTGGGGGTGGGGATGGGGTGAGATTTAAGATAGGAAATCTCTGTGTAGCCCTACCTATCCTGGAACTCATTCTTGTAGACCAGGCTGGCCTCGAACTCACAGAGATCCACCTGCCTCTGCCTCCTGAGTGCTGGGATTAGAGGGCATGTGCTACCACCGCCCAGTTTAGGAATTCCTTACAGTGTATTTTGGTCATGTTCACACCTCCGCTTCTCCTATATCTATGCTCTTCACACTCCTCTCCCTAATCACACAGCTTGAGTTTTCTTCTTCCCTCACCAGTTTGTCCAGCTAGTCTTGGAGTGGGGCCTGGCCTGGAGTGTGGTTGCCCTACCAGGGGTCAGTCATAGATCAAAGAAAACTGACTTTCCCTCTCCCATCAGTGATCAAGCTAAATCAAGCACTGGCTGCTCTTCCAGAGGACCCAGGTTCAGTTTCTGGCACACACACGACAGCTCACAACCATCCATGACTCTAGTTCCTGGGGATCCAACATCCTCTTCAGAGCCCCCTGGGCACTTCCCGTATGTGATGCATATACATGCAGGGAAAACAACAATATCCACAAAATAAAATTAAATCTTCCTTAAAAAATGCCAGCAGCATCTCAGCCTGTAGTGAGATTTCATGTCCTTTCCACACTGAATTTTATCTGTTTAAGCTTGTGTAGATCTTATACCTGCTGTCACAATCACTGTGAGTTCATTTGTGCAACTGTCCTGGTGTGTTCAGAAAATACTGTTTCCACCACCTCTGGCCCTTATACCGCCTTTTGTCCTGACCCCCCTCTTTTCTTAACGATCCTTGAGCCTTCGGTAGAGGGGTGTGGTATGTCCTGATGAGGACTGAGGTGCCACAGTCTCTCATTCTCAGGACGTTGACCAGTTGAGCGACTCTGTTAATTGTCACCTGATGCAAGGAGAAGCAGCTCTGACCAGGTTGAGAGACGCACAGATCTGTGGGGACAGCAGTGAAGTTGTTAGAGTCACTTTAATTCCATGTCCATTAAGTAGAGGATGGGAGTGGATTTTCCTTAGGGCCTAAGATTGTCACACACAGGTTCTTGGACCCTTTAACAGTGCCAGGTCAGGGTTCCATCTCATGGAATGGGCCTTAGATTTTTTTGTCATTTTATGTATTTATTTTTAATATATATATATTTAAAATTTAATATATATACCTATTTAAAATTTTTATATGTATGGGTGTTTTGCTTGCGTATATATCTGTGTACCACATGCATGCTTGGTGCTCACAGGGGCCAGAAGAGTGTGTCATATCCTCTGGAACTGGAGTTACAGGTGGTTGTGAGCCACCGTGTAAGCACTGGGAATTGAAACACAGTCTTCTACAAGAGCAGCATGTTCTGTTAACTGCTGAGCCATTTTTCCAGCTCCTTGACATTTCAGATAAAAATGTACTAAGTAAGGCTCAGAATTGTTCAGATTTGTTCAAGACCCGTGTTGACTACACAGCTAACACAAGGCTGGAGTCCAGGTGTGATCTGAAAGCCCATGTTGCGAATTCTGATGAAGACTATCCTTCCAGATGCTTTAAACATAAGAATCCAGAAATCTGGCTTGTAAAACATCAGGATAGGTTGACTTAATGGGACTATCAACTTTGTCCTTTTTTCTCTTTAGGCCCTAAAAAAAAATTTAAGACTCCTGAAAGCAAGGCCTCAGCTACTAACTTACTCAAGGAGAAAGCATTTAAAATTGTATCAAAGTGCTCTGCTCCATCAGCTCCACACGGGGCTTGTCCATTGGGAAAGGAAGATCTTGGGCCTCAGGAGCCCCTGACCCAGGAGGCAGCAAGTTTCCCCCCTGAAGAAGATGGTTCCAGTGACCTGGACTTGGAGCAACTCATGGAAGACATTGAAGAGGCAGAGGAGAGAGGGGAGTCGCAGCAGAGGGATGGCTCAGAGGAGTTCCTGGCGGGTCTCTTTGAGGAGTAGTGTGCTTTGGTCCTTCTACTGCTAACTACCTCTCAGTGATCCTGAGCAGATGTTGAATGTCGGGGTTGGTGACCTGCTCCAGGCTTCAGGTCAGAGCTGTGCATCCTGGGTAATAAAGCAGGTCTCTGGGGTCACTGTTTAGGCTGGGCTTCCTTTCATGTCACTATGGCAACCTGCCTTCTCTGGAGGGTATAGGAGGCTGGGGACAGCAGCAGGACCCAGGCCTGGGGAACCTTCAGAAAAGCATCTCTGTGAGTCCTGGCTCCCCAGCTTCCTGGAAGCAACATGGCCTTAGGAATGCATTGTGACCATCTGGTGTTTAGTTCCCTGTCTCACACCATCTATCTAGGGTTGTTGCCGATGTCCAGTGTGGTGGTCCATGGGAACCAGTCACTGTGTACTGGTTATTACCCTCCCAGATGTGGGTGTATATCATGTAGACTGGCTGCCAGCATTTGGGACATCCCCTGCCTTGGGCAGCTAGAAAAAAGTGATAGAGGAGGGGATCTTAGAGGCCAGAAGTTAAGGGTCACGTGAGTGACTCTTAATTATATTCATTTAGGCAAATTCTGTGGATTGTTTTTATTTTTGTGAGGAAGATCTAGGAAGTTAGAAAAGGGAACTGGGAATTTCTGATTTTCTCTGAGCTCAAACGCCCTGACGTGTGGATTTCTGTCTCTGGCCATGGGTATCAGTGACCCATGAGATTTTGTCTCTGGCTGTGGGTATCAGTGGAAGCTGGGAGTCTTCCTACTAGAAACACAGGTGACTCTGAGATCGTCACCCAGACCCACTCATTTGGCCTTTACGATGGAGTACACAGTCTCTTCCTGGGGGTTCCCATGGACGGGCTGGCAGGGTGGTGTTCCTGGGGAGGCTGAGCTTGAGAGGGCAATGGAGGCGTACACGATGTTGTTATCCTGTGGGGACAAGAGGTTAGATGGCAGCAGTGCAGCTGTGGCCACCATAAAGCAGCAGCTGCAGCCTGAGTGTCCTGCCCACACCTGCAGCAGCTGCAGCCTGAGTGTCCTGCCCACACCTTCAGCAGCTGCAGCCTGAGTGTCCTGCCCACACCTTCAGCAGCTGCAGCCTGAGTGTCCTGCCCACACCTGCAGCAGCTGCAGCCTGAGTGTCCTGTAACACCTGCAGCAGCTGCAGCCTGAGTGTCCTGCCCACACCTGCAGCAGCTGCAGCCTGAGTGTCCTCTCCACACCTGCAGCCTCCACCCTTCTGCCTCCTTCTTCAACATCCCTTTAACTTCCCTCAGGCCTGAGTCTGAGTGGCTTACCTTGGGGTTCTCTTTGGGATCCATATATTGCCCTAGAGAAAAAGGAACACAGAGTGCTAAAGTCAAGGGAAGGGAGACAGATGGCTGGGAGTTCCAACAGTGAGGTGAGGACCTTGGTTACATGGGAGGGACAGGGTGATGGAGGGAAAGGTGGAAATACTGAGGGATGCTTATGTAAGTGTGGGGTCTTGGGAGAAGAAGGCAGAGCCAGGTGGGGAAACAGGAAGCTGGCAGAATTTACCTTCAGGTTCAACATTCCCAGTGTTTTCAATGAGGTCCCTGAATAGGAACAAATGGACAACATATCAGAATCTGGACAGGAAAAGGTTAAGACATTAGGTGCTGGGCTACAGAGATGGCTCAGTTAGGAAAGTAAGTGTCATATAAACACGAAGTCCTGATTGTAGACCCAGGACCCTCAGAATGCTGGATGCTGGAGAAGCAGAGACAGGCAGATAAATCCCTGGAGTTCACTGGCCTGGACTAACAGTAGAGCTCTAGAGTCAGGGTCAGACCCTGTCGCAAAAGATAGAGTGGAGGGCTGGAGAGATGGTTCAGCTGGCAAAGTGCCCACTTCACAAACACGAAGACCCAGATTTGGATCCCCAAGGATACATGTAAAAACCGCTGGAGGGCCTGGAGAGATGGCTCAGAGGTTAAGAGCACCGACTGTTCTTCCAGAAGTCCTGAGTTCAATTCCCAGCAACCACATGGTGGCTCACAGCCATCTGTAATGAGATCTGGCGCCCTCTTCTGGCCTGAAGGGATATATGCAAGTAGAACACTGTGTGCATAATAAATAAATAAATTAAAAAAAAAAAACAAAAAAAGCTGGACACGATGTGCCTGGAGATTGGGAATGGAGAGAGGAGGATCCCTGAAGCTCATTGTCTGGGCAGCCTGGCCCAACTAATGAACTCAGGTTAATGAGAGACCCTGCCTCAAAATAAATATTAAATAACGGTGGGAGAAACTGAGGGGAGTCACCACATAGACCTCTGGCTTCCACACACATGCACAGGTGCACACGCACACACACACAACATACATGCAGGAACACAAAATAGAGAACAAATGACACACCATTGATCTCTGGCTTCTATATATGTGGGCACATGTGGATGTGCACCTGCACATGTATACACACAAGAAAATGTAATAACACATACAGAACTGGGCATCGTGGGCATGCTTGTACTCTCAGTGCTCAGGAGGTGGAGATAGGGGACTCCTGATGTTCACTGGCCAACCAAGCTGGTCTAACTTGTGAGTTCCAGACCAGTGGGAGACCCTGTCTGTACCTAACCAAACAAAACATACCCAAACAATAATAACAACAATAACAAAAATCCAGAACCCAAGGTGAAATGACTTTGTGGGTAAGGCCAGACCATCAAGACTGACAACTTGAGTTTCATCCCAAGGATTCACAAGGTGGAAGGAAATAGAAAGCTCTCAGAAGTTGTCCTGTGACCTCCACATGTGGACCATGTCAAGTCATACCCACACACATGTATACACATGCACACAAACAAATAAAATGTAATAATTATTTAAAAGAGTGGATGGCACCTGAGAACACACACACACACACACACACACACACACACACACACACGCACACACGCACACACGCACACACGCATCAGGAGCTGGTTCCCTCTGAATGGTCTCTGCCATCCTCAGTGACTCTAGATGAGCATGACCGAGTTCCATCCTCAGAATTAGACCTTCTCTGGAGGAGAATGAGAGGCCATTGGGAAGGTGGCCTGGCTGAGGTCCCTCAGCACTAGCTAAAGGGGAGTCATTCTAGGAAATCGGCTTGCCCTGGGCAGGAACAGAGACTACAAATAGGAAGAACCAAGTCTATCCTCTCTCACTACCCTGAAAACTAGAAGATAAGAAAGTTTCAGATCTCCTGGGGAGGTGCTCAGGCTAGGTTCAAGGAAGAAAGGACCTGAGATGGGACTGGAGGAAGGGCATCTGGCCAAAGAAGCCACGGGGAGAGGAGAGATGGAGGGAGCTGGGATGCAGTGTTGCTAGTGGATGCTTGAGTTATCTGCACAAGGCTGTGGGTTCCATTCCAGCACCTCATAAACCCGGTGTGGTACAATGCCTGTCCTTCCAACAGTTGGGAGGTGGAGGCAAAAGATCAGAAGTTCAACATCATCTTGGCTACAGTGAGTTCGAGGCCAGCCTGGACTAAATGAGACCCTGTTTCAGAAAAAAGGGGTTGGAGGAGGAAGGGTGAGAGCAGGCCATGTACAGTAGGAAAAGAAGAGGCAGGAGAGAAGGGTGGAGAGGTTGGGAGGTGGATAGAAAAGGGCAGAGATGTGGAAGATCTGGAACAAAGGATTCTGGGGCAGCGGGGCTCACTGACCATAGAGACAGACAGAGAGAAGAAAGGAAAAGATGGGAGAGCTGTTGAATCCAGGCGGATGTTCAAGGCTGAGAGGAACCAGAGACAGAGAGGGAAGCCCAGGAAATGGAAGGAGAGAGGGAGGAAGTCTGACGCCTAAAGGGGGTGTTGTTCTGGGAAGGAGACTCCTGAGACCCTCTGCACTCCTTGTCACTGAGATTCTGGTGCCTGAGGAGCCTGAGGTCATAGAGGACAAGGAGGGAGCAGACAGGATGAGTCAGTGGTTAGGGAGATGTGAAGAGCCCTGGGTGTGGTCCTTCTTTTTTTTTTTTTTAATGAAATTTGAAGAGGCTGGAGAGATGGCTCAGTGGTTAGGAGCACTGGCTGCTCTCGCAGAGGACCCGGATGGTGCTCACCTGGCTGGGGTTTCAGCTTTAGTCCTCTGTCCTGTGGGGAAGAAACAGTGTCAGTGTGACATCAGTGCTGATCCTCCATCATCCCTCTCAGCTGTCCTGTGTGTTCAGACCACCTTCAGAGGACAGGGGAGCAGAGAACCTGCCCCAGGCAGTCAGAGAGGAGCCTGAGCTCCCTCTGCTGGGCTGTGTCCTACACAGCAACCTCCCCAGATCTCTGCTTGGTCCATGTCCACCCCTGTCTCCTCTGCTTCCTTCACCCACCTTGAGTTCCCCGCACTCCACACCTGCCTCATCTACTCTGCATTCACCAGACTTCCTTTGTGTGCCTTTAGAGATCGCCTCTGTCTGGATTATATTTAATCTACTGATCTTTTTGTCTTGGTGCATTAATTATTAAGCTTTTTAAAATTGTCACTTATTGATTATATGGTAGGAGGTGTGCCACAGTTTTCATGGAGGTCAGAGGGGGACTTGTTGTAGTCCATTTCCTCTGTGTGGCTCCCAGGCTTCCACACTGACTCCTTTTAACCTCTGAGGGCTACTGTAGCTTTTTTTTTTAAAACAAAACAAAACAATTATTATTATTTATTGATTTATTTAACTACTGTAGCTTTAAAAGTTTTTCGTTGATGTTGTTTTGTTTTGCTTTGCTTTAAGAAAATTATCTGCACCTCTTTTGGTGTGGATGCCATGAGAGCAGATAGATGCCTGTGGGATTCAGGAGAGGGCTTCGATCGATATGGCTGCAGCCAGAGTTACAGGCGGTGGTAAACTGCCTGTTGTGGGTGCTGGAGCAGAACTCAGGTTCTCTGCCAGAGCAGCCAGTGCTCTTAACTGCGGAGCCATTCCTCCAGCCTCCTGTTGCAACTTTGATAAACTCTGGGATCAGGCAGCAGGAATGCTCCATTGTTGGCCATTTTTGTTGTTATATCATCTCATTTTGTTTTCCAGAATGTACGTGAATTTGAGAAGATGAATTGTTTTTACAAAACTCCCATTGTACTTTAGATAGAAATTATATTGAATTTACTGATTATTTTTGTAGTACAGACATCTTTTTTTAAAAAAACCTTAACTCATTTTCATTGTATGACTGTTTGCCTGCTGGTATGTCCGATTGCCACACAAGTGTCTGGTCCCTGTGGCAGTCAGAAGAGGGCGTCAGATCCCCTGGAACAGCAGTTACAGGTTATTGTGAAACATTGTATGGGTGCTGGAATCAAAGCCTGGTCCTCCGCAAGAGCAGCCGGTGCTCTTAACCAATGAGTCATCTCTCCAGCCTCCTAATATAGACATCAGAACTAATTTTTCCACTTTAAGAATGAGATGATTCCTACTCACCCGCTTCCTCATTCTTTCAACAATGTCAGCCACTGTGTTTTGAGAACAAGTCATTCGGTGCCTTAGGTTCCCTAACAGTTTTTCCCTAACTGTTTTTTCCCCCTTTTTTTGAGACCGAGTTTCTCTGTGTAGTTTTTTTTTTGGGGTGTCCCGAAGCTCGCTCTGTAGTCCAGGCTGGCCTTGAACTCACAGAGATCCACCTGACTCTGCCTCCTGTGTGATGGGATTAAAGGCGTGTGCCACTGCCAACTGGCCTTCCCTAAGTGTTTTTAGATTATAATTTTAGTTTTAGAGATTTATTTTTATTTGTGTGTGTATATATGTGTGCATGACTATGTATGCCATCCTGTTCCCTTGGCCAAGGAGGCCAGAAGAGAGCGCTGGGTGCCTGAAGCTAGACTTACAGGAGGTTGTGAGCTGCTCCATATGGGTGCTGGGAACTGAACTTGGGTCCTCTGCCAGAGCAGCAAGTGCTCTTAACTCCTGAACCATCTCTCTCTTTTTTTCTTTTGACTTACAAATACACTTTGTTTGTTTGTTTGTTTTTGTTCAGCTCTGTGAGATCTACACAGGCACGTCAAATAGATCCCCAACTCAGCTGGTTAGCCCACTCCTAACTAACCCAAACAATTGAATTGTTTTCATTTTTTAATTGTTTGGGTTAGGTTAGGGTTAGATTTGAATGAAAAATCTTCATAACAGGCTCACCTATTTGAAATCTTTGTTGTATTTGGGAGGTTATTGACCATTTAGGAGGTGCAGCCTTCTGGAAGAGTTATGTGTCACAGGAGGTGCGTTTTGAGAACATATTGCTCTCCCTCACTTCCAGCTTTCTCCCTGGTTTTCTGCATGTGATGAAGATGTGACTTCTCAGTGTCCTGCTTCAGCTGCCCCTCCACTATTAACCTTCCTTCTGGGACCGCAGGCCAAATCAAACTCTTCCTTCCACAAGTTACTTTTGATTATGAAGTTTTATCACCACACTGGAAAAGTAACCGCCATTACACACTCTCAAACACACTTCCTGTTTCAGTCCCTATATGGCTTGGTTGTTTCACCAGAGTGTTTCTCAACACACTCAGACTTGTTCCTGTTCCCTGGTCCCCATGTCATCCATCTAATCACTGAGTGTTGGTTTGAGGTCTTCTGCACCCAAGGACGACTTTGAACTACTGATCCTCCTACCTGGCCCTTCCACACACTGGAGTTACAGACATGCACTACCACACAAGGCTAATCACAAAGTCTGAAAGCTTTTGCCTCGACATTTTCCTGGTTCTGGCCATTCATCCCCATGTGCAGCTCCACTGTGGCAAAATGACACAGCCTGGCCCCCCTCCAGTCTGTTCTCTGCACCCTAAGACTGTAATGTCAGAATCCAGCTGCTGCTCAGGCCACAGCACCGCCCTTCACCTCTCACACAGACACTGTCCAGACACTGTTCTCTCCTGCTGACCTGCTTCCATCCAGGTCTCGGGTTTCTGACCTGGGCAGTGATTTTAGTCACTGACGGTATTAGTGACCACACATCCTGTTCCCTTTCTTGCCTCCTTCCTGGTCCAGCTTGTGCAGAGAAAGCACCCCTATCCTCAGAAGGAAATAAAAAGAACCCCCCTTCCCTCTTTAGAGGCCCGGTCATGTTGGTGGAGCCTGAAATCTCCTTAGAGTGCACTGCCACGTTGATATCTACCTTTCTGTCTGTCCATGGCATCGATAACTTTTAGTAAACTCCTTCCTCCCCGGTTATCTGTCCCAGTGACCCTCTTGAATCCCCATCTGAGACCTTTCACACACACTGATGTCATCATAGCAGGGTGCTGTGGTGGCCACTGCATTTGTCCTGTTGTATCAGAGGCTTGGGGACCTGATTTACCAGGTTCCCTCTGGTCATCTCCTGCCTCCTCTACCAGCACCACACTGCTCATTAGTTCCTGAGATGTTTTCCCTTTCCTGGATGCCCAGAGAGTGTCTTCTGTATGACTCTCAGCCCTTTCCTGGCTATTTTGTGGAAGAGAGAGGGTTGAGATAAATTCTCATATAGTCTAGGCCAGCCTTGAACTCAAGATCCTCCTGCCTCCATCTCCCAGGTGTACTGAGCGAGGTGTGAATCATTGTTACTGTCATTATTATCATTTTTAATTGTATTATATTTATTTATTTACTATGTGTGTGAGTTTCCACACGACATGGTATGCATGTTTTGGAGGACAATGTCCAGGACTCTGTTCTTTCCTTCAGCATGTGGGCTCTGAGCATTTCCAGTGCCCTGACCTCCTGAGCCATCTCTCTGCCTCTGGCTGTCACTATTTATTTTTTGACATCTTATATTATTTTTCTTCCTCTGGAGAGTTCCTCTATTTACCTGTCCTTCCTCTGACTGTGTCTATCAACACCTCAGCTCCTCCTGAAAACACTCAGCCCTTGGATGGCTCCCCCATCACCTTGCAGTTACAGGGAAACCAGATGTTCATCTACTTGGGATCCTGCAGTTTCAAGCCAGACTTTGGGAAGTGGAGCAATACAGCTTTGCTGAGGTGACTTCCGGTCCCTTGTGTTTTCCCCTCCCCTAGTTTCTCCTGGGCAGCCCATTTCTCCTCTGTAAGCAAAGGGGAGGATTGATGACCTGTGTCTAGGTCAACAGGGAAAACTGAGACATGACTGGACTGTGCGGTTCACAGACTTAACCCTGCAGAACCTCACCTGAGGAAGCGGCTTCAGGCAGAATCCCAGTGAGGATAGCAGTACAGGGCTGCGGTCAACCAAACCAAAACAACAGCAGCAAACAGACCCCAGTTAATCTAAGCACAAGCCTCAGAGCCTGACTGGGGAAAGAGGAGGGGGCCATCAGGGATCTGCCCTGGGGAGACAAGAATCCACCCTTAGACATTGCTCCTCTAACGCTGCCTACCTTACTTCTTTTTAAAGACAAGGCCACTCACTTGTACCCGAGGCTCACCAGTTAGGCCAGTATAGCTAGCCATCCAACCTCAGGGATCATCCTGTCTCCACCTCCTCAGCACTGGGATCACATGGAGTATGGTCATGGAACCTCCAGCTTGCATGGCTAACACTTTCCTGACTCAGCCATCCCCTGACCCACGGATCTGTGCTGTCATCAATCCCCTTCCAGGACTCTGGTGTGGACTGTTCTGTGGAAACACTCACGAAGTGTGATGGGGGTGCTGTCTTGGACCACTTACCTTTCCTTCTCCTCCACCCGAGGAACACTATCAATCCCAAAACCCCAGCCAGGAGTACAGCGGCAGCCACTGCCAACCCAACTGTGGTTCCCAGACCCAGGGGCTGATTCTTCCCGCTCTTCTTCCCTTCTGTGGCTGTAAGAGCAGTTCTGGTGAGTGCAGAAGTTGCAGAGGTGGGGCTTGGAGAGGTGGTCTTGGGGGCTGGGAGGAGACAAAGAAAGTCAGCATGGAACTTCCCTGGCAGGAATGGTGTTCTGAGGATGCCTCTGCTGCACACTTTGCCCCTCAGACTACTGAAGCAATGCACTCCAAGGAACTGGAGTCACCCAAGGAGTCTCATGCTGGGAGAAGGAAAAGGCTGAAGTCTGGAGAGTTCACACAGTCCTGTCAACTCCTCAGATCAACCTGCAGGAGAGACAGGACAGAGACAGTGATGGCTCACTGGGGGCGGGGCCACACCGGAACTGGGACTGCTCAGCTCTGCGCATGTCTTGTCTTCTATTTAAGCCTAAACCTCATGTCAGGACCTGTCAAAACCCCAACTATGGAGTTGGGCGGTTGTCACTGAACCTCCAGTATGACCATGCTGTGTAAATCTCTTTCCTCTGCTTTTCACTGTGACTGTCTCTTTAACTGTCCTGTTGAGGACAGATGGCCAAGCCTGGCTTGTTAGAGCTGCCGGGGCCCAGGTTCTGATCCTGCACTCAAGTAACAAGTGGGTCCTTCTTTAATGGGGGATGGGCACACATGGGTATCTTGTCTCCTTTAGGTGATGTCTGATGAGGAACAGCTCTTAGAAGCTCACACAGGAAGAAGAGAACATTTGCTGAGGCTGAGAATCTGGTGAGCAAGGACAACTCTCTACTTGCTGGTAGGAATGTCCCCAGACCCTCATGTCATCCCTTACAAAGAGCAATCTCTAAGTCACGGAGATCAAAAACAGTCATTTTCTAATGACAGTTCTTGTTAGAACAGGAGTAGCCTGCAAGTGTGGACAGTGCTGCTCTAAAGACCTGAGTTATTGAATGGAAATCTCAGGACCAGGCACGGCTTGCCTCCCTATGGGTTATTGGTCAGCAAGGTCCAGAAATCCCAATACAACATAGACTACTGTCATTGCTCTTGGATGCCCACCATAGCTAGATGATAAGAACCTATTACTGAAGACACTGCTCGATTTTGATATAGATATGATCAAAATACATTGTAGAAATGTATGAAATATTTAAATAATCAAATACTACTAAAAATCTTTTTGCCATTTATTTTATGTATGTGTACAGTATGTGTCTGTGAGTGTATATATATGCACCTACACACATATGTGCACATGAACATGTGTACACACACACATGCACAGGCAGGCACACACACACACACACACACACACACACACACACACACACACACACACAGGATAGAGATGTGATCTTGATTATATATGTGGAGGCCAGAAGAGGCATGTGGTGTCCTCTTCCAACATTCTCCACCTGTTCCTCAGAGGCAGGGTCTCTGTGAAATGGGGGCTCGAGTGCCAGCTAGGATGAAGGCCAACAAACTCAGCAATCCTCCTGCCTCCACCTCCTTGGAACTGGTGTCACAGGATATGCAGGGACACACAGCTTCCTAGGTAGGTGTTGGGGTTTGAACTTTGGTCCTCACGGTTACAAAACCAGTGCTCTGAACCACTCTTAATATATATATTTTTAAAGATAAATTCCATGTAGTCAAGATTAGCCTTGAACTTGCTGTGTATTAATGAACTTCTGATCTCCTTACCTCCACCTCCCAAGAGCTGGGATTACAGGTTGCACCACCCCACTTTAAAAAAGGTCACTTTTTAAGTTGGCACACACCTTTAATCCCAGCATTCAAGAGGCAGAGACAAGCAGATCTCTGTGAGTTTAAGGCCTATCTAGTATACATTGCAAGTTCTAGGCTACCTAGAGCTACATAGTGAGACCCTGTCTAAAAAAATCATTTTCAAAGGTATAAATATATATAATATAAGATATATCATTTGAACTATGTAATATATGGTTCAGTGTCTTATAGCACATTCATTCTATGGAGCAGCCAACCAGCACTATTCAGTTCCAGACCTTCTTTAAATAAAGAATTTTCTTTGTTGTCCTAATTTTAGCAGGGAATGTAGGCAAATGTGTGTGTGTGTGTGTGTGTGTGTGTGTGTGTGTGTGTGTGTGTGTGTGCACATAGATGTGTACATATATATTTCCTTCTTTCCCAGAATGTCCCAAAAGAACAAAGCAAAAACCAAGTTGTTGGAAGTATAGTGGTAGAGTAATGAAATAGTCTCATTAGCAATTGCCATGGATAGAGTTAGGCAATAAGAAAGTGTGTCCTGAGGGAGAAAAGGCAGGTCAGCAACCGAGGAGATGCCTCAGTCCTGAAGTATTTGCCTTGTGTCCTGGCCAGTTATTTTGTCAATGTGACACAAGCTGTAGTTATCTGGGAAGAGGAACCTCAACTGAGAAAATGCCTCCATCACGTTGCCTGTAGGCAAGTCTGTAGGACATTTTCTTGATGGGTGATTGATGTGGGAGGCCCAGCTCACTGTGGGTGGTACCATGTCTGGGCAAGAGGTCCTTCCTGGGTGCTATAATCAAAGCAGGCTGAGCAAGCCATGGAAAGCAAGCCAGTGAGCAGCACCCCTCCGTGGCTTCTGCTTCAGTTCCCGCTTCCAGGTTCCCTTCTGGAATTCCTGCCCCAACTTCCCTTAATGATGGAATGTGATTGGGATTTGTAAGCCAAATAAACCTTTTCCTCCCCAAGTTCTTTGGTCATGGTGTTTTTTCACAGCAACAGACACTCCAACTAGGTCACCTCTGGATCACAAAGTCCTGAGTCGCATCCCCAGGGACCTGTGTGTGTTGCCATGCACTTGTAATCCAGCACTTCAGGGGGAGAGAGGCAGATCCTGGGGCTCACTGCCAGCTGGCCTAGACCACTTGGTGAGTTCCAGGCAGGAGAAAGACCTAATCCCTGATGAAAGAGAGAGACAGAGACAGAGACAGAGAGGGAGAGAGATCTTTCACTAGGAGTGTTTTACTTAGACATGAAAGAGAAAAACTGCAAAGGAGAGGACTATTGAACTTGGCTACAAAAGTGAAATTATGGAAAAAGAATTGATTAGCCAACCACAGGGTTCTTTTCAATATTTGTTGCACATATTTCTCCAGGTGTGACATCTTTGCCCTAAATGAGGACATTTTGCTCTGATAAAACATTTCTTTTGAGGTCTGTGGATGCAGCTCAGTGGTGGAGTGCTTGCCTAGGGTGCACGAGGCCCTGAGTCCATCTCAAGCAGGGGACACAGGAGTGGTCACACACCCTTGTGATCCCAGCACTTGGCGAGTGGAGGCAGGAGGGTCAGGAGTTCAAGGTCATCCTCAGCTATATAGTAAGTTTGGGGCCAGCCTGGACTACATGAGACTCTGTCTTACAAAAAATTGAAGGAAAAGAAAAGTGTCTTTTATCATTAATTTTAATATTTTAAAAACAATGGGCATGAATATTCAGTTATTGAATTAATTTTAAAAATACTGATGAAGAACTCACAGTGGAGGTGAGGAGTAACTCAATGGCAGAGCCCTTGTCTAGTGTGCATGTGGCCTTGGGGACCATCTGAAGTCCGGCTAAAAGAAGAAAAACATGGTGTGTCTACCTGAAGCACAGAAAGGCATGGCTGCCTTAGATTGATCGTTCTACAAGCACCTAATAGATTATCGCCAAGGCTGGAGACATTAGGAACGGAGGAAGAGGGAGGAGGTGGAAGAACAGAAACCATTTAGGGAAACATGTAGGAGACACAGGAAATGCAGGTGTAAGGTGCCTGTCAGCTCTGGCTGTGGAGTTTATCCTGAACAAGCACAGGGTTAAGATGAGGAGTGGTTTGTCAGGGGGAGGCAGGTGGGTCTAACCTGGAAGGGACAAACCAATTTATCACTGGCACTGTTGAGAATTGGTGATATAATAAATGATAAGTGATTTTTATTTGACTGTTAATTTTATATTTTATTTTTTAAAAGTATTTTTTATTAACTTTTGGCACACACATAATGGCGCATGAGTGTGTGTGTGTGTGTGTGTGTGTGTGTGTGTGTGTGTGTGTGTGTGTATGGCTGATTTTTGTTTTGTTTTGTTTTTTCCAAACAGGGTTTCTCCTTTTAGTTTTGGAACCTGTCCTGGATATCGCTCAGTAGACCATGCTGGCCTTGAACTCACATCGATCCACCTGACTCTGTCTCCTGAGTGCTGGGATTAAAGGTGTGCTCTACCAGCGCCAGCATGTGAGACTAATCTTAAGTGTTCCCTTCCTCAGATGTCATGCACCTTATTTTTAAGACAGACCGCATGAGCACCTGTAACCGCAACACCATGGGAGACAAGAGGATCAATGGGGCTTCACAACCCATCAGCCTAGCCCTAAACAGTGAGCTCCAGGTTCAGTGAGAGACCCTGCCTCAAGGGAATAAGGTGGGTCTTATTAGAGGAGGAACCCTAATGTCCACTTCTGGCCTTCCCACGAACAAAAATGGAATATATGTACACACACACACACACACACACACACACACACACACACACACACAAATGCACACATATGTGTGCACTTGAGTACAACATATATACATGTTCTAGAAAATCAAGATAAAAGAAAAGGCAAGCAACAGCGTGAACTCCACAGAGGCCACGTGTCTACTGATAGAGATGCTTGGAGGTAAAGGGTCCCGTCTGAGGCCTGTTCCTCACCAGCATGACCTTGGGCAGGTGTTGAATTCTGCTGGTGTCTGTGTCTCTCTGTATAATGACCACGAGAGTGCCCAGCATTGGTGGCCAGGGTAATGTCCACATAGTGACTAGGCTGGGCCTGTGTGCACTCTGTGTGGAAGCTGCAGTTACAGCTGCCATGGAGGAGGAGAAGTGACCAGAGAACCTGATCATGGTGAGAACGTGAGGGTCTGTGTGGGAAAGATGGGGATGGGGAGGAAGGAGAGGAAGAGGGAAATGAAGAAGTAGAAAAGAAACTGGGGCAGGGAGAGGTGAGGGATGTGTCTAGAGACTGGTGAAGTGGGGGGACCCAGAGGAGGAGGGGTTCACGTGACCAGAAGGCACCTACTGTGGAAGGCACGAGATATGGTGTAAAGTCTAGATCTAACGGAGACCCTGACACGGGACCAGGTAAAGGCCGCTCCATCCTGGAGAGGTCAGATCCACGTGGATTTGTGTCAACGAGGGTGGGGTGGGCAGGGCGGTAGTCAGTTTGGAGAAAGGAGCAGGAGACTGGGCCATCTGGGAAGAGCTGAGGCTGGGGGTGGGGTGGATCTGAGGGCAATGAGGGGCAGCTCAGAGAGAGCAGCTAAGGTTTGTGGATGGTTGTGGGGAAGAGGAAAGGTGGAGTTGTCAGAGCTCTGGGGAGGGGACAGAACACATGAGAGGAATCTGAGGGAAGAAACAGAAGTGTAGGATCGCTAATGACATGTATGGTACAAGGAAGCCAGGGCCACCAGGGCCTGACCTGGGATGTGCTCACCAGGAGTGATGGTGAGTTGCGTCCCACTGATTGACTGCCACATCTCCGTGCAGTTTTTTATGCTCAGTTGAACTCGGCAGAAGTACACTGTCTGGTCCTTCTTCTTCAAGTTCAGGATTCTGAGGACTCCGGATGTCTGAGGCTGTGTCCAGTTCAGGATGAGCCGGTTCTTGAAATGTTCATATATGTAACCCGAGGAAGAGTTGTAGATCAATTTCCCATGGAAGCGCTTCCATCTCCAGAGAATCCTCATCTGTGGATCCTTTGCCAACTCCGGGGGGAAGTAGAAGGAGAAGGGGATTGTGATGGAGCCGCCCTGGACACCAGAGATGTGTGCTGGCTGGTCGACTCCAAAAGCATTTGTCCTGTGACATCTTGCTGAGTTACCTGGGAAGGATGAGGGAGAATCTGAAGTCTCTGCAGGGGATGGAAAGGACAACCCAGAGCTTCCTGAGTCATCAATGCAGGCAGCTGTGGGACACAGGGCAGGACTGATCTTAGGTCCCACTGTCCCATATGGGACAGGACAGACAAGGAAGGGTTGGGATGGACCCACTCTGAGGATGAACTCTCTCTTGGGGCACAGAGGACTGACTGGATCCTCTAGCAGACACCTGTCCACATGACAGCCCGCTCTTCCCAGCCCCACTGGCCCCTCCTGTGGTTAGGGCAGAGTCCCTGCTAACAAGGTCCCCAAACTCACCAGCTTGCAGACATGCAGCTGACAGCAGCAGAAGCAGGATCCAAGTCATGGCCTGATTCCCTCCAGGAAGTGAGACCAGCAGAGTCATCAGGCAGGAGAGGACCTGTGAGGGACACTGGGGTGCTCAGGAGTCAGGAGAGAACTGGGTTAAAATGACCGTCATCCACCGAGGCTTCTCATGTGGAGGACAGAGTGGGGCAGGACCTCCCCATCTCCACCTCCTTGTGACCAGCAACTTCCTTCATCATTCTGGGTTCTTTCTCACACTGCAGAAGATCCGCCCAGTGGTCACTGACAGGATGGCCATGCCCTTGAGCCCAGGCCCCGTTTTTGACAGGAAGAAATGGAACTGACCTCACCATGCCGGGCTCTCCTCTCTTCCACCTTGATCTTCTGTCTTATCCAGTCCTGTCCATTTCCCATGTGGCCTGTAATCACTGGTTCCTCACCTCCAGATTTCCTCCACTCCTGCCCTCCTCATCATCATCTGTTTCTCATTGTGTCTCTCACCATGCTGGTTGTCTGTCTGTCTGTCTGTCTGTCTGTCTCCCCCTCTCTCTAATAACCTCAGGCACAGAAGTGGTCAGTTTCTGCTCACTTCAGACACAGCGAGGATGGAGGTGATGAGGAAACACATTCAGTCCCAGCCCTAGCTCGGTGTCCCCACCACCATCTGCTCTTTGTCCTCTTCTTGTCCTTCAGGGACTCTTCACAGCACCCGGCAGAACCAAGGCCCAGGGGACACTCTCACCCTGGCCTGCTCTCTGCTGCCGAGTCTGTAACCACCCTGGGCTTCCTGGGTGATCGTCTCCCTCCCCTAGACAGTGACTCCAAAGGTACTCCAGTTTCTGAAGGAGACTTTCTACATCGCACCAACCTTCCCACAACTCAGAAGAGGATGCCAAGGATCAGAGAAGCCCTGGCACATGTCACATGACTGTCACATGCATGGTTGACTGGACTTCATCCCATCAAGTACTTGTAGTCCTCCACTCCACACAGACTTCAGCCTGCCTGCTCCGCACAGCATCGGTACTCCCCTCAAAGGTCAGGGATCAGCTGCTAGGCTCCCAGGAGGCTGTTCCCACAAAGCACTTGAGTGACTCCCTCTAGCTGTGGCTGTTCTAGAACCTTCTTTGGATGAAGTTGGCAAAGAAGACTCACAGCAGCAATGTGTCACTCATGACATGTTGCCTGGGACATCTCTGACAGTGGACACACTGCTCCGTGACTAGGGTGGAGATGTGAGGGTTGGGGGCAAAAGCTGTGGTGACCTCAGGTATGGTTCTGTAGGAGGGTCATCCTCCCCTTCCTCAGACAAGGTTCCATCAGTTCTGTGGAGGACAAGATTGTAGCAGAGGAAGTGGCATCCTTCTCCCTGAGTGACATGTGCAGAGGCGACTTCCCATTTCCTTAGATTCCTGCACTGATTGCCTTCTCCATGCTTCCCTCAGGTGACTATGCAACCACCTCTGTCACATCTGCTGTCTCTGCTGTCCTCACAGTCCCCACAGTTCCCATGGTCCTCTGATTTATTGACCTGAGCCAGGCCCAAACACTCATGGTCTCACTCCCAGCAGCACATGGACACACTTCTATATCCATCCATCCTGTTTTTGGAGATGCAGAGACACAGAACCTTTGGGATGAGTTGGGCCCCGTCAGGAGAGGGTATTGGGGCCTATTGAATCTGTCAGAAGGGCCCCCCTAACCTTTATTGAATGTGGTCTCATGTAACCCAACAAACAGCCAAGATAACCAAAACTCCAAAGAGTCAGCCAGGTCATGGAGGCAGGTCATCTGTTATTTCACTTTGGTTGCAGATACTTGAAGATGTCACCAGTATTTTCTTCAGACTCACTTAAACAAATTTTGTTACTATTAATAGTTTCATTTAAACAGCATATATGTTGAAGAGGAAAATGATCGTTTCTCTGTTTCTGTGACCTCAAATTCAGTGACCCGGGAGTTTCTGCCATTGGCCTTGGCTATCTGCAGAAGCTGGGAAACTTCCTACCTGAGGAGTAGGAGACTGAGCTGGTCACCCATCCCCACTCACTGGGCCTTTAGGACACTATAGAGTCTCTTCTTGGGGTCCCCTAGGCAGGGGTACAGAAAGTGCTCATGCTGAGGTTGGCAGCACATGAGGGAGATGAAGATGATGATGTCATCCTGGGGGAGAAAGAAGAGGTGAGATGGGGGCGGGGCAACTGTGCTAATGTAAAGTCTCAGGTGCAGCCTGAGTGTCCTATCTACACTACCAGCTGCCATCCTTCCAACCTCTCTAACATCTCCTCCACTCTCCTCAGGACCCAGTCTGGGTGAGCTAGTCTGGGGTTCCATCTGGGGTGTGTATCTTGTCCCTGGGGAAATGAAATCAAGGAGTGACAGGAAGGGTGGAGAGTTGGATAGTTTTCATCATTGAGATTATCTGCTGTGTCAGGGCCCACAAGGCCTTCACTGTGCGTTATTTGAGGAAAGTTTCTGGAACTGGATGGTTCTGACGGAAATAGGAAAGGTTGAGCCTGTTCTCCTCCACCTCTGTCATGGGAAAACACAGCTAGGTATAAAATCAGAGTCTGAATGCTGAGGACACCATCAGGAACTGGAGTCTGAAGAGTCACAGAGTCAGGCCTGAGACACCATGTGTACTCAGGATGAGGACTGGGTAAACATGTGGTGGCAGATCAGCTGTGAAAGGTGCCTTGTGTGATTGTGTGTCTCTGCGTGCAGGTGCCTGTGTGTGCAAGTGAGTGTGTGCTCATGTATATGGAGGCCAGAGGACAACATCCAGCATTACTACTCAAGACACTATCCATCTCAGGTTTTTTGTTTGTTTATTTGTTTGTTTGTTTTAGGTTTTTGTTGTTTAATTTGGTTTTTGTTTCTTTTTTTAGATTTGGGGGGTTTGGTTTTTTTGTTTGTTTATTTTTTTTGGTTTGTTTGTTTGTCTTTTGAGACAAGGTCTATGTAGCCATTGCTGGCCTGGAACAGGACATATAGACCAGTCTAGCCTCAAACTCACAGAGATCCACTTGCCTCTGACTCTGTCTCTCAAAGTTAGAATAAAGGCATACAACACCATGCCTAGCCCAACTTGCTTTAAATTTTTAAAATTATTTTTTTATTCTGTGGGGGCAGGACACACACATGCTACATCCTGTGCAGCAGCCGGTTCTCACACTGCTGTCTGACACACCCATGGTCACGTGTGTGCAGAAGACCCACGTGTGCACACCACAGCCCAGGCTGCTCTTCCACAGAAAGTGCCTCTCCCCTGTGACAGCATCATGGCTGCAGAGCCCAGTCACTGCTGTTGGGGGAAATGGGGTTGGCACTGCAGGAGACTGATTACAGTATCCTGGACATAAAAAATATCCACAGCGGGGTTCCTATGGTGATTCAACTAAGGACTTGAAACTCCAACTGAGTCCATGACTTTGGAGTAAGGATCCAGCAGTTGGCAGCCAGTGAGGCTGAGCACAAGGGGCAGTTGAGATCCTGAAGGACCAACAGACCCTGTTGAATAAAAATGCTGGGGTCCAACACCTGACATATGGCAGCCTCGTCAGGCCCAGCCCTTCATGCAGAGAGTTAGCAATCCAGTGACCTTTTACCCACAGACCTCAGACTGTAAGGCAAGGACAGAAGAAGCCTGGAGGTGAGTAGTCATGACCAGGAGGATCTTCTCTCAGACCTGACTGAGCATAAAGACAAGGTTCATCTGGTAGAGTGCTTACCTGCCTGGCATGCACAGAACACTGGGTTCTATCTCCAGCAGGAGACAAAGGGACAAAGGGACACAATTGAGACAGTGTTTCATGTGCCTAGGCTAACCTCACACTCAATAGGCACTAATGACAGCCTCCAGTTCATGGTCTTGCTATCTCTACTGTCAATCATTGGATTACAGGCATATTCCACCATTCCTGGCTTCCTCTAGTACTTTTTTTAATTGACTGGCTCAGGCCAGGGAACACAAATCCCCAACACTGGTAGCCATGCTAGAAGCCATGTCTGCTCCCCATTCCAACAGTAATGTTCCTTTACCCTGAGGGGATTTGACCTAAACCTTGTTGAGAATGTTGGTGCTGTGAAGTCTTTGCTGTGGGCTCCTTTGCTGTTTCTCCCTTTTGAACAATGGAAACTGACATGGCAAGTCACATGACCACTGGAGTATCATTCATGAGGTCCGTCTCTCTCACCAGCTACCTGGAAGGAGGGTATGATGAACCGATACTCCCATAGGTGACTGGCCAGACCATCATCCTGCAGCCTGCTCGTGTGAACACCCCAGGGATGCTCAGAGGAGACACCACCCCAGCTGCCAAGATCCCTGTGACCATTGCTGCTGCTGAGTTCAGCCTCAGGAGGCTTGAATCCAGTTACACCACTGCAGACATTTCACAGCTGCCTCAGGAGACTTCACTTCAGCCAGGAGAAGCCTGGGTCACTTCTCCATGACCCCTCCTGTCTTCAACTGGTCTCGTGGTGTTGGGAACAGTTTCTTCACAGACTCAGCAAAGGTTCAAGTCTATACACAGTGCAACATTTGTTAAAAAGTGTTATTAACTCCATGGACAGACAGGAACAGAATAGATGTGCTCTTAGGACCAGAGAAAGACTAGATGATCTGAAAAGAGGAAATCAGAGCCCACACGGCAAAAGCTTGGCTTTTCTTCTTGTACCTGTCCAAGGTCGGATGTTTTACAGCAGGAACCTGCAGCCATGTTCTCGGATTCCCAGTCAGGAGGTAGGGAATCCAGTGAGATGCAGGATGTGTGGTCATCAATCCCTACTTTGATGTAAACTGACCTCCCTGGTGAGAGATCCTGGTCCCTGGAGGTCTAGTATCTGGGGACTGACAGACAATGTTTGTCTCTGAGAAGGAGAGGACAATTTTCCAGAGTCAGTTTCCTCCCTGCACCGTTTGGGTTCCCAGATTGAACGCGGGTGACTGGGCTAGGCAAACACCTTTTCCCACCGAGCTATCTAGTTGTTCCTACTTTTCTTTTGTCCATTAATATGTAATTGTGAAATACATGTTTTAAAATAAATTTGGAAAATGTTATGACCATCATTTATCCCCTTTAGGAATCCACATTATTTTTTCTGACATGGTCTCTCATTGTTCTAGAACTCAGCAATTAGACTAGATTAGCTGGACAGACAGCTCCATGACTCTAGCTGTCCATCACCTCCCTGGCTTATCATGTGGGTGCTCCCAATCAAACTCAGGTCCTCCAGCCTGTGTGCAAGGCTTTTCTGACAGAATTATCTCTCCAGCTCGCTTGCATGCCTCTCATAAAAAAAATTCCCCAAACAGCCTGTCTTAATCAATGTTCCATTGCTGTGAGTAGACACCACCACCTCGGCAAGTCTTATAAAGAAAACATTTAATTGGGGTTGGCTTACAGTGTCAAAGGTTTAGTTGATTATCATTATGGTTGGAAGGTTGGGGGTATACATGGTGCTGGGCAGGTAGCTGAGCATTCATCATCCAGATAGGCTGGCAGCAGGAAGAGAGAGGGAGACATTGTTCCTGGCTAGAGCATTTGAAATGAGAAAGCCCACCCCAAGTGACCCACTTCCTCCAACAAGCACACACATCCTAACTTTCACAGCATGATGACAAAACATACAAATCCTTGAGTCTATGAAGGCCATTTTTTTTCAAACCACCACACAGCCCCTCACCTGCTCCTTGGGATGACAGGCTTTCCCCTGGCTGGGGTTCATCTTTAGTCTGCTGGCCTGTAGGAGAAGAAACAGTGTCAGTGTGGCAGCCATGCTGATCCTCCATCTGCCTCTCAGCTCTTCTCTGTGTTCAGACAACGTTAGGAGCCCAGGGCAGCAAACAGCTCTGTAGCAGCCATTCAGGGACAGCTCTGAGAGTCACCAGGTCCTGAGGACAGTCCTCAGCTGTCCTTCTGCACAGCACAGCCAATCAGAGGACAGCTCTCCTTTGTCCCTTGTCCATGTCCTTCTCCCTCTGCTTCCTTCCCCTGCCTTGACCCCATGTCTCCTCCCTGCTTTCCCTGCTCTGCACTCACCAAGCCTCCCTTTTGTCTCCCTGGAAACTGGCTCTCTAGCTTTCCCTGTGAGTGCAGGCTGCTGCCACCCTGCAGATTCAGTCTCAGGGGTCGAATCCCAGTCAGACTTCTGCTACCTCTCAGGCTGCTGCTCTCCAGCTCTCAGATGCTCCTCTTACCTATTGGAGGGTTGAGCTCTTCTGAAGACCAGGGGCCACATCTTCAAACATTAGTTCTGCTCTCTCTATTACATTCCACTCTCTGCTCATCTCTGTTCCTATCCTGCAGTCTTCTAGTCACCATGGCTTTAAATCTGCTCTGAACACAGTCCACACTTGGCTCTTGTTTTGTGTGAGCACAAGGTCTCAACGAGCTCAGGTTAACCTGCAACTTTCTCTGTATCTGCAGATGGCCTTCAACTCCGGATCCTCTTGTCTCTATTTCCCAAATGCTGAGTTTAGAGATGTTCCCAGCTTGTCCCCATATTTGTTTCTCAGAATCCTTAAGAAAGCTGGAAGACAAGTAATTTGTCTTTACATAAATGCAATAGGAATTGAATAGGGATTGCATTGATTTCTATATTCTTTTTCAGTGTAAGGACTTAGAGTATACATTTTCCATTATGCAAATATCCTTACTTTTTTTAGTACTTCCTTAAATTTTTTAAAAATTTGTTTTTGGACTGTATTATATATATGTATATATGTATGTATATGTTTGTATAATTGCATACATGCACACACATGAGGATGGCAGAGAACCACCTTGGTCATTGACCTGCATGATCTGAGACATCCCCATATTCACTTGATATCCTTAGGGGCAGGCTCTGTGTTCATCTACACCTGATCCAGCTGGTCTCTAAAGAAAGTAGGAGACAATTCAGTCCTTGTTTAATTAAGTCACATTCCTGTCCTTCTGTTCTCTTTACTTTTCCCTGCACATCTTTACTTTTCTCCATGTCCCACAGCTGAGAACACTCAGAGGGTAAGCTCAGGTGAGGGCCTGTCCAGGACCACTTACCTTTGCTTCCACCAGAGGAAGACCATCAACACATAGACGGGGGTTATGAGCACAGCCGTGGCCACCACCACCCCGACCGTGGCTCCCAGGTTCACAAGTGCAGGATTCCTCAGGTCCTCTGTGTCCTCCAGGCCAGCTGTGGTGACTGTAGAGGTGACGATGGAGGGGCTCTGCATGGTGGTGCTGATGGCTGGGGAGAGATGAGAAGTGAGCAGATCCCCCTACATGAGGGAGGGATGGGGTGAGTGTCACACCTTGTCTCCTCTGTGGGATGTGGGATAGGGAACAGCTGTTAGAATTTCACAGAGAGGGAATACATGCTGAAGGCTGAGACTCCAGGAGAGCAAGTTCGAATGCACACTTTCCACCTGTCCTGGAGGTGGGTCCTCAGATGGTCATCTGGTCACAGATAATTATGCCATAGAAATACAGTTGTTTTTTTCACAGATGTAGGTAACATGCAGACATGTCTCAGTCCACAGAGTGTTGGCTGCTTGTTGCCTTAGAACCCGAGTTTCATCCCTAGTAGTCATGTAGAGAGCTGCATGAACTTGTCATGGCCTTTAATCTTAGCCCTAGGGGCAGAGGCAGGAGATCTTTGTGAGTTCAAAGCCAGACTCATCTATGTGCAGAGTTTCACACCAAAGAGGGCTAGTGAGCTGTAATCCCAGCACTTGAAACTAGTGAGAGACCCTGTCTCAAAATAAGGGAAGGACACCTGAAGTTGTCCTCTGGCCTACATATGCACGTGAAGAAATATGAACATTAACACACACACACACACACACACACACACACACACACACACACACACACACACCTGGAATAACAGACTTACATGTTCACACACAGAGAATACATAAAAATATATAACAGAAAATACATAATTTTAGCCAGAAGTGTACAGTTCAGTGCAGGACAGAGTACATTCATTTGCTCTACAAACATCACTGTTATTAATTCCCATAAGTTACCTATTTTGAAACACTAGACCAACAGTTCCTAACCTGTTGTTCGCTGTCCCCATAGTGGTGAATATAAGACATCTTGCATATCAGATATTTACAGTATGATTCATAACAATATCAAAATCACATTTATGAAAGAGGAATGAAAATAATTTTATGGTGAAGGGTGGTCATTACAACATGAGGAACTGTATTAAAGAGTCTCTGCATTAGGAAGGTTGAGAATCACTACTCTAGACCCGAGAAACCGCTTCTTTCTCTCCCTTCCTGGAGCCCTGGCAGCTGCCGGTTGACATTAAATCAGGTCAACAGGGTGGTCATAGAGACTGTGCAGAGAACTGTGCTGTGGGCGTCCTCTCACAGGGTGGCTTTAATCCAGTCAAGAGCCACTGCTGGATGTGGTGGCAGCTGACTCTAATCTCAGCACTTGGGAGGCAGAAGCAGGTAGATTTCTGTGAGTTCCAGAATAACCAGGGCTAAATGGTGAGGCCCTGTATTATAAAAACTAAAATACTAAAATATAAAAAAAAAGCCACAGAGCAAGACTGTGATCAACAACTAAGCACAGAGTCTCCCAGCTGCTGCGGGGCCATGTGAAGAGCACAGGTGTGACAGTCACAGAGTGACGAGGCTGGACCTCAGTGTTCCCTGTGCATGGGACTGCAGTTACTTCTGCTGCAGAGGAGAGGCAGGGATCAGAAGACAGAGCAGCCACATCATGAAAATGGGGACATTATTTCCCAAGAGCCTTGGAGCTTGTGTGGGAGAGGTGAGGGTAAGAGGGTAAGGAAGGAGAGGGGGGGTTGTGAAAGTGGAGGAGACAGGGAGTTGGGTAGAAAGAGGTGAGGGATGTGTGCTGAGGAGCTAGGAGGGAAAATGGGGGGCTGTGGGGACAGGTGGCAGTTTACACGTGGACCAGAGGACTCCAAGAACATCCAATGGGCACTTGCTGTTTGTTCTGGGCTTAGTTTGGAGCTGTGTGGAGATGCTCCATACAGGGACTCAGGGGAGCCCTGCCACAGGACCAAGTGAGTCAGTTACATCCTGGAGAAGTCACTCAGTTGAGGTCCTGGAGAAGTGGCCTGGCCTGCAGTGTTAGTTTGGGACAGGTAGGGGGTAAATTGACTGGGGGGGGGGGCAGGCTGAATCCTAGAGAGGGCATAGGGTTCCATCTTAGAAGAAAATGACAGACAAGGTCAGAGGAGGCAGGAAAGACTTGTCACAACAACAAGGGAAAGATCTGTTGGCAGAGGCATGGACAGAGCCAAGGGAAAGGAATCTAAAAGAAAGCTCAGAGTCATGGAGCCTGAGGGGACATCTAAGGGACAAGGAAGCCAGAAGCATCAAAGTCAGAGCCAGGGTGGCTCACCATGTGTGACGGTCAGCTGGGTCCCTTCAATTGACTGCAAACCCTTCATGCCTTCTGTTGTGTTCAGTTGAACTTGGCAGAAGTACTTTGTCTGGTCCTTCTCCTTCAAGTTCAGGATTCTCAGGACTCCAGATGTCTGAGGCTGTGTCCAGTTCAGGATGAGCCGGTTCTTGAAATGCTCATGTGTGTAACCTGAGGAGGAGTTGTAGATAAATTCACCAAGGAGGTGTTGCCATTTCCAGAGAATCCTCATCTGTGGATTCTGTGCCATCTCCCAGGGGAAGGAGAAGGAGAAGGGGATCTCGATGGAGCCGCCTTGGACACCAGAGAGGTTTGCTGATTGGTTGACTCCAAAGGTACTTTTTTTCTTGGATCCTGGTGAGTGACCTGGGAAGGATGGGAGAATCTGAAGTCTCTGCAGAGAATGGAAAGGATGACTCAGAGCTTCCTGACCCTTGACCCACAGGCAGGTGTGGGCCACAAGGCAGGACTGTCCTTATGTCCCACTGTCCTATATGGGACAGGACAGACAAGGAAGGGTTGGACTGGACACACTCTGAGGATGAGCTCTCTCTCAGGACAGTCTATCTCTCTGGCTCCTCTAGCAGACACCTGTCCACATGACAGCCTGCTCTTCCCAGCCCCACTGGCCCCTCCTGTGGTTAAGGCAGACTCCCTGCTAACAAGGTCCCCACCACTCACCAGCTTGCAGACATGCAGCTGACAGCAGCAGAAGCAGGATCCAAGTCATGGCCTGATTCCCTCCAAGAAGTGAGACCAGAAGAGCCATGGGGAAGGATAGGAGCCCTGTGCAGGGACACTGGGGTGCTCAGGAGTCAGGAAGAATCGGGGTAAAGGGGCACACAACCCCTGAGTCTTCTCATGTGGAGGACAGAGTGGAGGCAGGACCTCCCCATCTCCACCTCCTTGTGACCAGCAACTTCCTTCATGATTCTGCCTTCTTCCTTCCCACATTGCAGAACATCCTTCCTTGTGGTCACTGACAGGATAGCCATGCCCTTGAGCCCAGATCCCATTTTTGCCAGGAAGATATGCAATTGACTGTAGATGAAATTCTAAACAGTCTTATTAAAAGAAACACAGAGCCAAATACAGAGTTAAAGCCTAAGCGATCAGAGCAAGAGACACGACTCCCTTTAGCTTACCACTAGCTGTCATCCTTCCCCTGAGAGAGAGACCTTCTTCCTGTGTGTGTTGTCTTTTACTGCTTTCTCGTTCTGCCTTCTCATTGGATCTAATCCCAGCCACATGACTTCCTCATCACTGCCTGTCTATACAGACCTCCTGGTCGCTATGGTTGGTACTGGGATTAAAGACTCAAGGGTCACCACGCTTGGCTGTGTCCTTGACCACACAGAGACTCTGCCTGCCATGTGATTGGATTAAGGGCGTGGGCTACCACCACCTGAATTCTGTTCCTGGCTCACTAATGACCTCTGATCTCCAGGCAAACTTTATTTATTAACATACAAATAAAAACATATTTCAGCACAATTAAAATATCACCACCTTTCCCGTATTATTCTAATAAAAAGAAAAAAGATTAGAAAAAGTTATAACTAATGTAAGAAAAACTATATACAATAAGTACATTAACTATATACAATATATACAAGCAATAAATACCTAAACCATGTCTAGTCCATTTGTATTTGACGAACTCAGAGAAAATATTCCATTATCTATCCTATGTTGGTAAGTCCAAAATGTACCTGATTCACTTTATATTCTAACTTGTATTACTAACAGAGAACTATCTTATAATGTATTCCAAATTTATACACTTAACACATCTTAGTGAGTTTCTTTTGTGAAATTCTTAACAAGGAAAACTATAACTATAACTATGTAATCTTCAACTTGCTATAACTATAACTATGTAATCTTCAATGCCCTCAGAGACCCCAGAAGGAAATTATATTACCTAAAAAACCAGGAAGTTTCCATTCGTTTGGCTATTTGTCCCTGTGCTTTATCCAACCTTGGTCTCAACTATTCTCCCTCATATAAACCCTCCTCATTCTCGCTAATTGGACTCCCAGAGATCCACCCGGGGCCTAGTCATGGATCTCTGCATCCAGATCCCTCAGTAGTTGGATGAGGTTTCTAGCATGACCATTAGGGTGTTTGGCCATCCCATCACCGGAGTAGATCAGTTCGGGCTGTCTCTCGACCATTGCCAGCAGTCTGTTGTGGGGGTATCTTTGTGGATTTCTGTGGGCCTCTCTAGCACTTTGCTTCTTCCTATTCTCATGTGGTCTTCACTTACCATGGTCTCCTATTCCTTGTTCTCCCTCTCGGTTGATGATCCAGCTGGGATCTCCCGCTCTCCCAAGATGAACTATGAACCAATGACTGAGGGGACACCAACTGGATCAGGCCCTCTGAGTGGGTGAGACAGTTGATTGGCCTGATCTGTTTGGGAGGCATCCAGGCAGTGGGACTGGGTCCTGTGCTCACTGCATGAGTTGGCTGTTTGAAACCTGGGGCCTATGCAGGATTGCTTGGCTCGTCCTGGGAGCAGGGGACTGGACCTACCTGGACTGAGTCTACCAGGTTGATCTCAGTCTGTGGGGAAGGCTTTGCCCTGGAGGAGATGGGAATGGGGGTGGGCTGGGGGGAAGGTGAGGGGGGCGGGAGGGGGGTGAACAAGGGAATCCGTGGCTGATATGTAGAACTGAAGTGTATTGCAAAATAATAATAATAAAAAAATAAATAAATAAATAAAACAAAACAAAACAAAACAAAAAACAAAAACCAGGAAGTGCATGTAAGCAGCTTCCAAAAAAATGTGAGTTGACAGAAACAGCCAACTGCCTGGACAGTCACCGAGATTTCTCCACAACATTGGGGCATCATCTTCAGCCTATAGGCTTAGCATATCTGACAGACTCAACTGTGAAGTGAGATGTACACATGGCCTACAGTTCGACCTCACATTCGGTAAGAGTAGTTCATGTACCAGAAACACCTGAATTCCACTAGTGTCCTATCATGATTCAGGATTTTAAATTCTGGAAATTGTTGATGTTTTTGAAATTCAGCTGTCCATTCTTCTTGGCTTGTGGTTGTGGCTTTAGCAACAGGCATCCTCTGAGGCCAGGACCATATGGCACCATCCCTGAAGTGGCCTTTGCAATCTGGAAAAGGTACAGTGCCCCTTTCTTCAAAGGCAGCTGTACAGGCAGGGGACCGATGGCTTCTGATGTGCAGTGGAACAGTAACTGAAACAGTTATTCTTGAAAGAGTAATTAAGCTGACAGAGTCTAACCTCTCAATGGTAGACTGGCATTTAATAAAAGAGTTGAAGCCACTGACAAGCCGAGAAGAATGGGATGCAGAGAAGAACGGGATGCCGAGATGAAGCTCAGAGCAGCAATGTGTCACTGATGACATATTGCCTGGAACATCTCTGAGAGTGGACACAGCTGATCTGTGACTGGGGTGGTGGCGTGAGAGGTTGGGGCTGTGGTGACCTCAGGGCTGGTTCTGCAGGAGGGTCATCTCATCTTTCCCCATGTCATGGATCCATCAACTCCCCATAGGACAGGAAGACAAGATTGTACCAGAAGAAGTGGCATCATTTTCCCTGAGTGACATGTGCAGAGGCGACTTCCCATTTCCTTAGATTCCTTAACGGATTGCTTTCTCCATGCTTCCCTGCAGTTGGCTGTGCAACCCACCTCTGTCACATCTGTCTTTTTTTTTTTTTTACAGTCCCCATTGTCCTCAGATTCCTTGACCTGAGCCAGACACGAACTCTCATAGCCTCACTCCCAGCTGCCCAAGGACACATTTGTATATTCATTGCACCTTTGGCCTGTCCATGGCACAGAATCTTTTTTTTTTTTTTTTTTTTTTGGTTTTTCAAGACAGGGTTTCTCTGTGTAGTTTTGGTGCCTGTCCTCAAACTCACTCTGTAGCCTGTGCTGGCCTCAAACTCACAGAGATCTGCCTGCGTCTGCCTCCCGAGTGCTGGGATTAAAGGCGTGCAACACCGTCCAGCAAGGCACAGAATCTTAAGGATGAATTGGCCACAGTTTTACAGTCATTCAGGACAGGGGACAAGGCTATTGTACTTTTCCAAGGGCTCTTTTTCCTTTCTTTTGGCGGGCGGTGGTGTCTCATATAACCCAAGCTGGGCCTTGAACGTGTTATGTAGCCAAGGATGACCTTAAACTCCTACAGATCCTCTTCTCTGTCCTCCCAAGTGTGACAGGTGTGACAGGTGTGCCACATTTGTGCCCCATTATCTCAGGCTAGATATTGATCCTAGGGTTCTGTGTGTGCCAGGCAGGTAAGTACTCTACTAGATGAACCACATCTTTATCCTCAGTGAGGTCTGAGAGTGTGTCCTCCTGGTCATGAGTACTCACCTCCAGGTCTTACTGGCTTTGCCCTACTGTCTGGAGTCTGTGAGTAAAACTTCAATAATTTCTAAGTCACCAAGGAGGGGCTGGACCTGACGAGGCTGCCATGTGTCAGCTGCTGGTCCCCAGCCTTTTAACACAAGTGGGTCTGGTTGGTCCTTCAGGATCCCAGCTGCTCCCTGTGCTCAGCCTCACTGCTGCCACCTGCTGGACCCTGAATCCCAAGTCATGGGCTCTGTTCTAGTTTCAAGTTCTCTGTTGAACCCCCATAGGGGCCCTGCTGTGGGATGATTTCTCTCCAGGATGCTGTAATCAGTCTCCTGTAATGCCAACCCTGTTTCACCCAACAGCAGTGACTGGGACCTGGAGCCATGATGCTTTCACAGGGGGAGGGGCACTTTCTGTGGAAGAGCAGCCTGGGGCTGTGGTGTGCCCACGTGGGGCTTTTGTATACATGTGAGGCCATAAAATACCTCTTCGGTTCTGCAGAAAGAAGATCAAGTGTCTTACTGCAGAACCATTTTAGTTAATAAATTCATCAATTGACAATTCTGAACCTATTTTCCTGGTATGTCAATGGTCATATAGTGAGCCTTTTTGTCCCCTATGCCAGGGAGTTTCTTTTTGACCCAGAATTTCAATCTATTTTGGGCAGGGAGCATGAGACATCCTATTCTCTTTTGGAACTGCTTCGAGCTGACACTGGGGTGTTGTTGTCAACGCCCAGAAATGTCAAAAGGCTAGTCAAAGGCTGGGCAATGGGGCATTTGTCAGGAGCTTGTGGTTATCTGACCCAGCTGTTGAGACAGGGATCAATCACATTGGCTGGGCTGGTCCACATCTGCTCTCCACAAGTCCAGAGACCATAGTCATTGGGGCAGTGTAATCAGCAACTGAAGCTTGGAGGTGACTGCCAGCCAAGTGGAAACCTGTTGAGACAAATTTAAACTAGGAACAGAAGTTAAAATTTGTGAACTTATTTGGAAGTTTCAGGCCCATAATCTGAGTAATTGGGAAGGGCAGGAGTCCCAAGACCAGGAGAGAGAAAAATACCATCCTTAGGAATAGACAAGTGGGGAAAATTTAAGCTGTACTTAATTGGAGTCCTTTTGACCTCTGTTTAGAGAATCCAAGTTTTGTGACTCTTTTTAATCCTCTGAGGCCTATATGAATTATCTTACAAAATGACATAAAAGTTTAGGATGCATTAGTATTACCAATCTGGACTGAAATCCATGTCATAGACAAAGCAGATAATGTGATCTGTAAAACAGCAGAAGTGGACTCAGACCATTTTTGAGTTCAAGCAAAAACTACAGATTTGGGTTGAAAACATGTGCATTTTCCTTCTGACCAGACATCCAGGTGTAGATTAGACAGAGATTTCTTTGGCCTGATG